TGAAGGTTTAATCTTCTACTATTTCTTTTTTTATTATTCTTTCTTTCTTGCTAATTATTATATCTTATTAGTTTTTTATTGCCTATTCTAGATCTTTATTTTTGAATACTACTGTTGCATATCCTCTAGGATGTTTATTATAATTTGTTGGTATATATTATTTTTAATATATTATTTTTAATAGAATTTAAACGTAATTCATATTTAAATTAAAAAAAATCAATTACTTGTATTGTACAAGAGTGTTAAAAATAAAATAGATTATTAATAAAAAAAAATTTAATTATCAATTACAATTTAATTCTAGCTTTAGCTTTATTAATAATAATTTCTTGTCTAAGTTACCTATTTTCTTCACGTAACCTTAGGTATTGTATCGTTTAAACCAAATTGTTTGTAGGCAACCATAGTTTGTTTGATATTTCTTCATTACCAAGTTTGGTTTTTTGTTATCTGTTTTTTTTTTTCTTTTTATTCTTAATTAAATTTATTCTCAGTATCAACTCATTTAAATTGTTTACAAACACATCTTAAAAATTATTAAATTTATTTGGAGATATAATTACAACTTTGAGAAACTTGAGTGTGATCGCACGTTACAATACGATTGTAATCGTGAGATTCATGTTTGTAGTCTAGTTTGCTACTGACAATGACTATTCATCATGAGTATCTGGCTTCTAGTCAGCCACTAAAGCCACCCACCCATAGACCTACCACTTCCCTTATTGAATTTTTGTTTAGAGCAGCTGTGTCATGCTTGTGAATCAGCTACAGGTCACAATATGTATTTACGCTTGCTATGCAACATAAAGTTTTTTTTATTATTTAAAGAAATAAATGATATGATGTAATTGGTCTTTTCAAAGATTTTTAAAGTATATTTTTTAGACAATAAGTTCACATGATACAGAAATCCTATGAATAAAAAATTAATTGAATCCTTATTATAAATAAAAAAATTAATTAAATCCTTATTATGAATAAAAAATTCAGCAGAATTGATCTAATTCTTACTATAAATAAAATTCATAGATAAGATTTTGTAGAATTTTTACTATGAATAAAAAATTCAGTAGAATTGATCTAATTCTTACTATAAATAAAAAATTCTAAGAAATTGATTTAATTCTACTATTCATAGAGAAAATTTTGTAAATTTTTACAATATAAAAAATATATATTTATTAGATTTTTTTGAATAAAATTTTATTACAAGTAATTAGAATTTTTCAAAGATTTTTTGCTTAAATAAAAATTCACGTGACTAAAAATCATTCATAGATATGATTTTGTGCAATTCTTACTATGAATAAAAAAAATTTCAGAGGAATTTAATCTGCTATTTATAAATGTCAGTTGGGAAAGATTCCCAAATATAGACTCCAGCTAGAAAGATTCTCCAATATAGATTTGAGTTCTGCAGAATTCCTTCAATATAGATTTGAGTTCTGCAAAATTCCTTCAATATAGATTTGAGTTTTGCAGAATTCTTTCAATATAGATTTCAGCTGAGAAGGATTTTTTCTTATAGACTCTAGCTAAGAAAAATTCTCTTTTATAGACTCCAGCTGGGAAAAATTCTCTCTTATAGACTCTAGCTGGAAAGGATTCTCTTTGTTTTATTATCTTGTTTTAATTTTATGTTATATAGATATGAGTTTTTAAGAATTTCTCTTGTTTTATCATTATGTTTTATGATTAAATTAAAAAAATTAAAATAAAAATTAAAACAAAGCTATTTTATCAAATATAATATAATCAAACAACTGAATAAGAAATTAAGTGAAAAAGTAAAGAATGATAAAATTAAAATGTGGATACTACAACATCTGGTCGAACAGAATCGATAACGACTACAAGCTCACATATTTCAAAAAAACAAATATGTTTTTTTGCAGATACAGTAATATGTATAAAAATGAATGTACTAAAATATTTGAAAATTTGTTTAATAATACGATTCACAGAATACTATGTATCTATTATTGACATTATGATACTTTCACATATTGGGCTAGTAAAATGTGTTAATACTCTTTATCTTGCAAAATGTTTAAAGATTGAAAAATATACTATGAAGTTAGAAGAATATATTCAGATTGTATTGAAAACGAATTCAATTTTTAAATTTGGGTTTGATCAGAATATGTTTTATTTCTAGTTAGCAAGATTAGTTAATATATTTAGAAGTGAGTTTGAATTTTTAGTTGTTACTTAAATTAAAAATTAATGAATAATATACTCATTTAGAATCTTTGAACATATTGTCATTAGATTATTTGGTTTTAGCAAGAAAATTACTTTTTATTGATAAATGTGATTTAAAAGTGATATTGAATATAGACAAACTAAATCTTTATTACAAAAATTGTTAGATAGAAGGTTAATATCTAGTATTTGGCCTGGTAAAGTACATTTTATAGATCCTTATAATAATATTAAGTATTTATCAGATGATTATACTATGTTAGTTGCACTTTCTGCGTATTATTTTTAAATAATATTAATTTTTTTACTTGATTATATTTTTACGTACAAGTGCAAATATGCGCTTTTTAGATATTACTTGTATATTTGCATGGTCGATATGTTGTAATCAACAAAAATAATATGTTGTATCGTTAGAAATGATTTGTCAAACAAATCATTTTGTGATTGTTAAGTGACGCTCAAAGCAAGCCTTACAGATGCAGTTGTATAAGGTTTGTAAGATTTTAAATTTATCTATCTGTTGGTTGCACCACATTATTATGTCTGATTGAGTTTTATTTCAGAAAGTAAATTGTAAAAAGCATCATGTTGAGTTTTGAGTTCTATTAATTGATTAGTGAGTTATTGTGATAATAAATTAACAAGGCTAGTTGGAAGGGTTTTGTTAATGAGTTGGTTTAGTTTTTTATGGTCAACTTTAAAATTAATCTTGGATTTGGTTGTTTGCAGAGTAAAAAATCCAAATGATCCCAAAAGTAAAAATCTACATAATAATGTTATACTTATAGTCCCAACATCTTCATTAAAAGCGATGCATATGAAGATTATATGAATAAAGCAATTCATTTCTTTCTTTTAATCCTTTGATTTCTTCTGATTTCTTTAAACAATTCTAAATTTTACATATATATAATAATAACAAATATATAGCACATAGATTTAATATACAATATATAGTAATGTAAAAAAAACTAATAAGATATAATAATTAGCAAGAAAGAAAGAATAATAAAAAAAGAAATAGTAGAAGATTAAACCTTCA